AACATTGAGTCAAATTGATGATTCCGAAGCAGTGTTCTATTTCTCCTGTGGTTTTAACATCCCTTGGATTTTGTCCAACACCCTCACATCACGAGCGGAGCCATTCATAGCTCTATTTTTTTTTTTTTTTGGTCTCACTGGGTATCTATGTCATGATACTATATATCCATCTTAATGCCAGGCATGGTATTAAGAGCAAGGGGCATAATGATGACTAAAAATGATTCTTGGCATGAGGGAAGTGGGTCATTTATTGGAAGAGATGGAAATGTCAGTGAATCATTGCTGAAGACTTGCCCAAAGTCCATTGTTTATTGGTGGTGGAACTGAAACTAGCATCCATTGTTCTGCCTCCAGTTTACTTTGTTTGCTTCCCCACCATACTGCCTCTCCTTCAAACACTGACAGGACCTTGAAAAGGATTATTATTAGATGTTAGAGAAGTGGAAACACGGGCTCCTTAGGCTCATCCACAGTATGAGTGGTGTCTCACACTACGCTCCTATGTGTTACTGGTTCCTGAAGGCTGCCTGAATGTTCCTGGGCCCGGTAATTAATCGATCATAACTGGTGATGATGATCAGTTTATCCTTATATGTTGGGTCTGAATGGCTTAAAAAGTACAGCTTCCAAAATGATCTTCCCTCAGTTACTAAAAGACTATCGCTTGTCCCTTCCAGCTTCTTATCTTGGCATCAATCACTTTAATCGACATATTTTTATAGAACTCATACTATGTGGTAAGCAAAGGGATATGTTCAGAAAGACATACAAAACAATATTTTCCCTTTCATCAGAACACTGAGTCCAGAGGAGTGGTGTGTAAACAAAGTATTGTTAGCAGGGTGTTCTGGTCATTGCTAGCCTGGGAGTGATAGTGGTTCTATTCCCACTTCCTCTGCGAGACATCCAGTCTCTGCAAAATTCTCTCTTAATTCTAGGTACAACGACTGAATGTCTTCTGTGGAGTACTTCTCTTTATCTCATGAAGCATTTTCTTCTTGTCTTGCTGCAACTGGCTATGGTAATATTTCTCACTTGCTCCAACAGCCAAAGAGAAAGCCCTGGGAAGTGCTGGGCCAGAGGTGCCACCATCATGGCTAGCATTTGGGCAGGAGAGCTCCCAGCTGGATGTGGGAGGCTGAGGTCAAACTCCAGTTAGACTTCCTGCCTATTCAGAATCCATTGATATTGCCTTGGCCGCAGACACCATCTCCCATCAATACAAAGGCTACACGCACCATCACTGACGACGCTTTGACTTGACAACATTCCAAGAAGTTAGAGATGCTCTTCCACTGGAGGGAGGAAACTCAGGGGCTGATCTGTGAGGGCAGTGATAAGAGTCTGTACAGGGAGGTGTTTATGGCCTTCTGTGATGCCTCCTTAACCAAAATCAGATTCTGACCATCCAGACTCATCTCTCAAACATTCTAGGAATCTTGGGCTTGATCTTGCCAGTTTTCCCCTACTTCAATGTTTTTGCTTATTTCATATGTTGAGTGAATAGCATCTCCATATGCACAAGTTTAGGTATGTCCTTTCTTTGCTTTGGATTGAATTTCCAAAGCAGATCCTCTAGAAGTCATATTGTCTCTTAAGCATTATGTCTACACTTTGGATACATGAGTAGGCCATGCTGTGAACTGCATTTCTGAATATGCGACACGCAGTATTGTGAGGTAATCTTCACATCACTTCAGATTATCACATGGAGGATTGCATCAGTTGTTGTACATTGATAAGAAGAGACCTAAGTTCTCTCTCACCTGGGATGTGACTCATTTGGGAATGTACTTGTCTACGAGTAGGACAGGAGGGAATCTGGAAGGAGTATGGGAAAAATAAATGATAGCATCATCTTCCACATTGCTAAACTCTAAGGTAACACTGGTGGGTGGTGGAAGTCTCACAGTAGAAGTAAACAAATCACACAGAAGCATCAACAAGTTTGGCCATTTATTGATGCCATATAAAAAGCAGGCTACAATTACAATTCGGCTTTAAGTACTGAGGTACCCACCAAGGTACCCCTAAAGGAGGTTGGGGAAGTGGCTGAGGAAGCAGCACAGAAACGGAGGGCACTGGATTGGCCATGTGTGTCATACAACCACTTCGTACAATGATAGGTAGAAATGTGCTTTTCCTACCATGTTATTTTTTGTGACATAACTTAAAGTAATAATACTTGAATTTGCAATATAAAGAACAAGAGTAAGATCAAATATGTTGACCAGGTTATAGCATCAGGGAGTTCATGGTCCTGTGTTATCTCCCTGGAAATTGAGTCAGTGTGGACTAAGCACCAGATACAACATCCCAGAGCTTCATCATAAAGTCAGAAAGAAAGAGCTAAGACACATACTCTTTGGGGTAGCATTGTGTAGCTTTCAGAGTATGGAGTATTTTATCCAATAAAATGGGCAGTTATGGCATAAAAAAATGTAATCTCTCAAGCTGTGTTTCAGGTAGTTGATGAAGGTTTTTCAGAACACTCATTGACCATCTGAAAGCACCACACTGGGATGCCAGTGGAGACATGGCTGGCTTGGGAGATTGGGTGACGATGTGCTCTTATTTAAGAAAACCTATCACTGTCAGTGATAAAGAAAATACTTAGAGAATCTTAAAAGAATATATATCATTAAGCAAAGCATTCCAACCAAGGAGGCAATTCCTTGAGCAGGAAATGACTTCCTGATTTAAGAAAGTATTCACTATTACATTTCTTGGAATACTGCCCTCTATGGCATAATTACATTTTGATGTTCAAGAATTAAATCAACCCACAGCTTTCTAGAGGAGAGCTAACTCTACCACAATGAAAGATAATGTAAACCAAACTGGGATTTAGACCTTTGATGTATTTAAGCACCAGGCCCTTTGGTGAGCCTCTCTGGTTCATGGTAAATGTGTATCCAGTGTCTCTTGCTACATTTCTTGCTTGCTCTTTCAAGGTGGGAAGAATGGAGCACCTGGATAAAGTCAGACAACCATTTGGCTTCCTATTACCCCATATAAGCATCAAAGAAATGAAGACACCATTCAGGATTTTCCCTGATCTGAGGTCTATTTTAAGCACCAGGATACATAAAAACACCGAGGACCCACAGCTGAGTGATGGACAGAGGATTCTGATAGCAAGCATAAATGATGAACACCATACAACTGTCTAACAACACAGCCTCAGTGGAGGAAGGGAATGTTTATGATACATGATTGGGGGCCAATTTTCTGCAATTGAGAAACTGGAGAAAGACCTAGAATGGAGTATCTGACAAGATCTTCCTACATGTCTACCATCTTCTCCACAACGTGGGTTCTAAATGATATGATCCATTTCATATATTGGGAAACCTGGTCTAGTCCTACTTTAGTTTGTTGAGATCAGTAGGAATCTGGATTTGTTCCTGAGTTTTGCAAGCCTGGTATACCCAGGTCTCTGGTAGTATGTATTTTATCTTATGCTGGTGTAGTAACATGTTAAATTAAATCAGTCTGGCTTACTAAATTAATCCCTCTGAAAGCCTACACGCTATATCAGGGACTGTTTTTGTGAATTTTTTCATTAGAAAAAAATCAGATTTTTCTCCACTCATGTCACTAGTGATGTGTCTATGTTTTTTCACCAGATATTGTTATTGGCCAGCAATGTTTCTATTTAAAAACAGAGAATACAAGAATGCAATTATTATCTAGAAGTAAATTCCTTGACTTTAGGCAAACATGTCTACTTTCTTTCTGCTTCTGATCTACCTTGAATCTCATTCTGAGCCCAGTGTTTTATTTTCAACAGGAATTTATCAGAACAATATACGCTATGATTGAAAAAAATTTTTTAAAAGCACATAATATACAATGTTAAGTTCATGATATCCAAGAAATAGAACTAGCATTGGCCAGCAACACCATTCCACATTTAATAGAAGATGTTTATGTGGAGTTCCACATACATTTACCTATTTGTATGACTACCTATGTGTGATTAGTTCAGCTACCATCTACATATTAGCACCATTTTTCAATAGCACCATTCTGCTGAACAGATAAATAACTAAAGAGAGATATGGGTCATTGTGCTCCAAAATGAAGATTAAATGTGTCTGTGCAGGAGTCTGAAAATAGGTTGCCCAGTACAAAAAGCATATGTTCTCTTCTACCCTGTCAAGAACTGGTTTTGAGGCCTTCCTCCTTTTGGGGCTTATACCTCCTCCACCTGCCCACAGTCTGTCTGGGTTCAGTCTGTGTAAGAACTACCTCTTAGAAATTGGTTCTCCTGGAAATGTGCTCTGAATTTGAATCTATAGCCTATTTTGACTTCTGGGAGGTAGGAACATCTAGAATAAGAATTCTAACTTTTATTTCAGTGTTTTGAGCTCTCTTGGCTCTCCTATTTCCCCAAAGTAGTACTTTTATTTTGGATATTTTCATGTGTGTATGTGTGCACATGTGCATGTGTGTGTGTTGCTGCAGATCAAGTTCAGAGCCTTCCACAGGCTAAGCATGTCCTCTACCACAAAGCTACATCCCCAGCAGGAAAAGACCTTAAAACGTGACTACTAGGCACACTAGGAAATTATCATCCTCACCTCAATTTTTGGAGTTTTTTTTCTATCTAAACTATAGCTCCATTTTGTAGGAAAAGGAAGGTGGCAGGAATGGCCCTGGCTATAGTGATCTCTGTATATCAATCACCTGCATCAAGATGACCAGGTAGGGCCTGGGCAAGAGAAAGAATGGCAGACAATAAACTCATTTGTTCTTGTGCAAAGAAATTTGCAGTGCCAGGAAATGGGGAAGAATAAGGACCCATATTTCCTTCTGTAAGCTAGGAAGAAATTGATTTTTTCCACTTGCTTTTGAAGATTTTTTTCACAGAAATTGTCCTCAAGTCAGAAATGTTTTCTGTGTAGCTGTACTAAATCTGTTAGGCTGACGCTGATGTCTGTGTTCTTTTAGTCTAGAGTCTCTGGGTTGGCCCAGGTTTCTGAAAAGCCCAGCTATGGAGTCCTGCAGGAATCAAGGGATGTAACCAGCTCTCTCTTTCTGTTCTTGCTGAACACAGGGTGAAGAAAGTGCTCCTCTGCCTGAATAAGGAATGTCCTGACCCCCATCCCCCAACATTTTATACAGCAGCTACCCCAGGCTGATGGGGAAGATGTATTCAAGGTAAATGACAAATATTGTTTGCTTCCTGGGTAAGTGTGATTCTGTTTCCTGGTACTCTTGAGGTAGTCTAGGAAAACTCTGGTCTCTTTGTTTTACCTTTAGGTGTGTGTGTGGAGAGATAACATTTCACAGATCTGCCTAATCAGGCACTTTTCCTAGGAGCTGATATCAGCAAATGCAGGCTCCTCCTGGATACTTCACCTTCCTATCTGGAGCAGCAAGGATAATGGTCCTAGCCACCTGTGAGGGGCATTTTTGTGGCTAGAGGAACACAGTGGATTTTGTTGTTGTTGTCATTGTGACTCAAAGTTGGACCTGAAATATGTAAAGTGAAACCTCAAAGAAGCAGTCCCTAGGGTTAAAACATGTCACTGTCAGCAGTTTGCAGCAGTCTATGGTAGAGTGGCTTTCCTTCTGAGCTTAGAGTGTTTTGGGGTGTTTTAGCAACTGTTGTTTTCTTTGCCTTTGGGTATTGGTGATGTATGTCTGGGAACACGAGAAACAGCACTGGGCCCTCACAGTGGGCACAGAACATTTCCTCATGAACTTCAGTGTCTGGCAGAAACTGGCCGATAGCCTGTCCTTGGTACAAAGTAAATCTGCAGGAGAAGAAAAACAAAAGAAATAAATCCAAAGATTATCCTTTGTAAGTGAATTAACCCAACTTCTATTGATGTAAGGCTTTATATGTCTACCAAGAAAGGACTTATAGCAGTTCATAACAATAGCAGATATTAAACGAACATTAATTCTTAGACATTGCAAAGTGTTTGTGTTAAACTTGACTTATCAGTCATAATTCTTCATTCCTGTGGAAAACCATTAGACATTCCTATCCTGCTATGATTGTCTGGTGGATGAAGAATACTACCCCACTCCTTGACTTTGGGTTCAGCTGTATGATTTGTTTTAGACAATAGGATGCTAATAGCCTACCCTGGTGATCTGTCATCACCATAAAGAACCCGGTTCATGAAGCCAGCAGGAGATGGGGAAGACTGACACATGGAGTAGACCTAGCCCCAACCCACAGCTTAAAATCAAAGCCAACCAAAGCCAGTATAGATCAGCTGAACCTTAGCTGACCTACATATGTTGAACACAAAATACAGGACTGTAGTTTTAAACTCCTAAGTGTAGGGGTGTTTTGCTAGATTTGTTATTGCAATGGTTGAATGCATCATTTTCCATGCTTCCTTTCATTTAGTCTTCACAGTAGAATTATCAGGTAAATAATCCCATTTTACAAATGATTAAAGGTCTAGGGTAGCTATGATCTTGTCTACTGTTATCCAACTGATGGATAACTGATGTTATCAGTGGCATGGCCAAATCTGAACTCAGACAGATTCAACTCTGGAGTTCATGCTTTGATCAGCAGTATCATTTAGAGTGCCAAGCAAGAGACAGTCAGCCAACCAGCTCATGATTCCTGAGTATTGTTCAACAGAGTGTGAAGCATACAGGCACGTAAATTGTGGTCTCTACTGTCTAGAACTATACCATGTAGAGGAAGGCACAAGACATGAACAAACAATTCCTATCATCAGTATACAATTAGTAACCTAAATTCTAATTCTTGCTCTTCTATAAGTAGCTCTGGAAAAGTACATTCCTTAATTTTCTTGGCCTTCCTTTCCTTGTGCATGAATCAGGGAATTACATTAGATTGGTCAGGGACCACTTACACACATATTCTATAAGTGATGCTACGAATGCACTGTGCCACATACTACAGGTCTAGAAGGAATTCAGTCAGGCCCAAATGATAGATTTTTTTCCTTCTAGAAAGTGAAATTGCTTCAAAGTTTGCTTGAGTACCTCTTGGAGCTCTGGTTGCCTTTCTTTTTTCCTTTACAGAGAAAATATTTTAATAGTCCAGAAGAAAAGTATTTTCTCAAACAAGCTGCTGTCCTTTGTAAACAGAAGTCAGTAAAATAGAAACTGAAATAATATCTTTTTGATCCCAAACCTGTGATTTTCACTCTATGCTTTTTTCACCTTCAGATTATAAAAGCAAGATGCTTTTTATCTCCTCAGAAGTCATCGTTCTCTTGACTGTAATCCATTTTATTGTGAAGAAATATATATTGTCTGTCAGCTGCCAGAATTCCATTTTGTGTGCAAGTTTTTTTAAGTGCACTTAGGAAGAAGCAGTGTACAATGATCACGGAATGTAAAACCCCAACCTTTACTTTTGATTCTTTTCTCCTTCAGGCCTATGCTTTAATCCCATTATTAAAAAAATCCATTTCTCCTAAAATCCCACAGGAAGTTTTCTTCCATGCTCTAGAGTTTTACTGAGAGCACATGTTTTGGCTGGCTATGTATCATGTGAGCTGCTGTTCAGAACCAGGCCAGGCTTCTAGCTTTGGACCAGGGCCCAGAATGAAAACCAAGGTGTCACATGGCTGCCTTTGTTTTCTTTGCTAGCCTCTCCTGAAGCCCTTGTGAAAGATGGATAGAGAAGGTAAATGTACAGTAGCTCTTTGCTCTGCATTCTCCCTGCCATGACTGCATGAGTCTTCTGGGGCCTGCTGCAAGGAAGGGGGAAGACAAAGGAAGCATGAGGGCTCAGCTTGCATCCCACCTCTCCATAAAGCTTCTTTGGGCCATGTCCTCACGTGGATCCATTCTGTCTTGATCTCTAAACATGCATTATTATTATACCACTTGCTGAAACATGGTGCCATATTTTGTCTTGAACCATTTTGTAGATAGTGTGTGAGCCTTTTCTGCTAAGTGCTAAAAATGTGTTCTCTTTGAGGGGTGTCTGCCATTATAAGGAAGACATCTAGGAGGCTCCCAAAGTCTTTAACTATGTCCTGGGTTGTCCTATGTCCTCTGAAGCTTAAGTGACCAAAAAGTTGAAGTCCTAGCACTTTGTACCTGTGAGTGTGATCTGATTTGGAAATAGAGTCTTGGCAGATGAAGATAAGGTCATTCTGGGGTAGGGTGAGCCAGTATTCTGAAAAGACTGGTGCTGTCCTTATAGGAAGAGGAGAAGAGACACAGACACAGGCACACAGGGAAGGCAATGCTAAGATACAGACAAAGAGAGTGAGGATGGCTAGGTGATAATGGAGGCTTGAACCAAAGAAAGCCAAAGATTTCTGGCAATCATCAGAAGCTAAGAGGGAAAGTATGGACCTAAAAACGCCTTGATCTTGGACGTGTAGATTTCAAAATGTGATAAAATAAGTTCATGTTTTAAACCAGCCCGTTTATGGTAGTTTGTTATGGTATCTTTAAGAAAATTAATTAATGTGTTCCCTCATTAATAACAATAACAACATAATTTGTTAAGCATTTCTCATGTACTAAGCAATGTACTTAGTATACTATACTATGCTGTGCTATGTATGCTACACCACACTACACTATACTACACTACACTGTACTGTACTACACTACACCACGCTACACTACGCTACACTACACTACACTACACTACACTACACTATATTATACTACACTACACTACACTACACTACACTATATTATACTACACTACACTATACTACACTACACTGTACTGTACTACACTACACCACGCTACACTACGCTACACTACACTACACTACACTACACTACACTATATTATACTACACTACACTATACTACACTATACTATATTATACTACACTACACTATACTACACTACACTGTACTGTACTACACTACACCACGCTACACTACGCTACACTACACTACACTACACTACACTATATTATACTACACTACACTATATTATACTACACTACACTACACTATATTATACTACACTACACCACGCTACACTACACTATACTACACTACACTACACCACGCTACACTACACTACACTACACTACACTATATTATACTACACTACACTACACTACACTGTACTACACTACACTATACTATATTTTACTACACCACACTACACTATACTACACTATACTGTACTATACTACACTACACTACACTACACTACACTACACTACACTATATTACACTACACTACACTACGCTACACTACACTATACTACACTATACTATACTGTTGTGCTATTTGATCTTCGGAGAAATTTACAAGCATGCATATCTATTCTACTTCTTTTAAAAACAGGGTTTCAGAGAAGGTTAGCAACTGGCCTAGCATCACAGAATCAGTATGTAGGTGCTACTGCTGAATTTAATGTTGTTTCATTGCCTTGTAGCTTTGCCTCCAGGAGAATGAGTCTCTTGTGCTAGTGATGGGGAGAGAGGACATCACACAGACAGATCTTTCCTGCCCAGAACAACTTCACTAGGTTGACACCTAAGTGACTGAAAGAGGCTCAACTGAGTCTGGTTTGTTTCCTGACCTCCATGAGATGAGCCCTGCTTTTCAAAGGTCCTCAGTGCCCTGAAACATGCTGGATCTAGGTGTCTTACTCTTTCAGAGTGGAGGACCAGAAGCAAGAGTGCAGGATGGATGTAGCCTGCACTGAGAGTCTGTGTTCCAGGCCTTTGTTTAGCAGCTCATTTAGGCAATCAATGACTGTGAACCCAACATCATTGTTGGGCTTAATTGTACCAGTTCTCCTTAGTATTGTGAAACAATGAAGGCTTGTTGTGTGAGCCAACTGGAACCCAACCTTGCAGTACACACAATGCCTTAATTAGGGACAACATGGAGAGCAGATTCCAGTTTTCCTAGGCCTGTTTGGAAATTTAAAGGTACAGTTACATGCCTGTTCTCTTGCAGGAAGCTGGATCTAGGTTGAAGGAATGGTATTTTGTCCATGAAATAAAGTCACAAAGCAGTTTTAATGTTGCTGACAGTTTCTTTAAGATTTAGAGCTCCTTGAGGCCAGTAACCGTTCTTATTCATAGTATCTTCAGCCTTTAACACTTGCTTAAGACATATTTTGTAATCATTAATGTTTGCTGAATAAATGAATAAAGATAACTGTATTCATCAGGAAGAATATTTGTAGAATATATAAATATTCAGTAGAAAATTTATAGATCCAAATATTCATTTGTATCAACAAAAAAAAATCTAAGTTCTTCCCCTACATTTTTTTTTTACTTTTCCTACTCCTTACTCCCCAAATTAAAAAAACAAGAGCAAATAAACAAAACCAGAATGACATATATGAGTTTTGCTTCAGTTTTGTTTTTTTACTTTGGTACTTAGAAAGGATTTTATAATCTCTATTATGGATTTAGATTTTAATCTGAATTAAAAATTCAAATGGAACCTCCTGGTGCTTACCCCAGGCTGTGTTCTTACACTGCCTGTATAGAAAGTTGACACAAAATAAACCCAACCCAAATACACCTTAGACCAGACCCTGTGCCTGGATGGTACTGTGAATGAGGAGAACGAGAAAAAAATTGAAATGGCACCTAAAAAAGTAAAATGGCTTGTAGAAAAGCAATGTGCCTTATATGAATTCACACTTGATCTTACATGATGGATATGGGGTTTTTATTGTGATGGCTGACTGACAATAATTTTGGCATTGAATAATTTGTTTTTAAAGCATTTAGAGGGTATGTGGTCAAGGTGGGTGGCTGGCTCCTCAAATCAAAGAATTTCTTGCAACTGCTTCTTCATGTTGCTTTTGTATGAGTAAGTATGACTCTGCCTTCAAGAGAAGGTAGTAATTAATCTTTGCTGCCCTGATAATTGTTGGTGAGTGGAATTCATCGTTATTTACATTAATTGCCAGCTAACTCTTAGCATCTATTCAGAGACTTCAAGATGAAAAATATCTTTGCATTTAATCCAGTTTTGGTTACAGAAGATTATATTGTCCAGCAATGGGACAGTTAAAAGACAATCTACATATAATTAAAAACAGTAACTGATAACACCAGGCAGTATTAAATAAGACCAGGTGGCTGCTTCAGTTATATTAAAATCAAACACAGCATAGAAAGCATTCAGTAGCTCAACACTTTAAACACATGGTAACATAGAATGTGATAAGATGAAATGAAAGGGTCTCAGATTGGTTCTTTAGTCTACAACAGAGTGCTTCTCAAATTTTAATGAGTATGTGGGTCACCAGAAGATCTTGTTTAAATGTAGATTCAGTTCAGTAAGTCTGGGGTGAAGTCTGAGATCTGGCATTTCTAGAAAACTCCCAGGAGATGGCAGTTCAGTGGTCCAGGGACCATACTGAGTAAGAAGGGTTTGGAAGACTAAACATTAATAGCATGTCTGAAAGCAAGCCACTGGTGTTTTAAGTAAGGACTATGAAAACCACCCTCAAGTGCACTGGGTGGTCAGAAAGAAGCTACATGTGCGAAGCACATTTAAATCATTTTCCCCTCAGTACATATTTCAGTCAGGATTTCTAAGCCATACCCATCTCCCGGCCTTCCTGTGTAATAAACCCATCACAGGACATTCCTACCTAGAAGATTCACAGGTTCCTCAACAAACATGTCCTAGCCAGAATTCATGTCCTTCCCCCATTCCCAAACCCACCTGTGGGTTTTCTCTGAGAGCATGGTAGCTTTATCTCCTTAGCTACCAAAGTCAGAAATACAGCAGCAGCTTTCCATTCTTTTCCTGTGCCACAAAGCTACAAATCTCTCTCTCTCTCTCTCTTTCTCTCTCTCTCTTCCTCTCTCTCCCCTCACTTCTCCTTCCCTAGTTCATGCCAGGAATATCTTTTACATAAGGTACAGTTGCAGTCTCCTAACTGTTTTTCGTTCTCTATCCTGCACATTGCAGCCAACATGACTTTCCTGTCTCCACGTAGTCTGTTTGGGCTACTTCGCACGGCCCCTTTCTGCCCAAGGGATAAGGTCCAAGTCTACCTTCACACTTCCCAAGGGTCTGCATCTTCTAACTCCAGCTCGCCTCTCCAGTCCTATCATTTCCTAACTTCCTTTGAGCTTTGTATTTGAGTTAGACTTATGTGCCTTGCAATTATCATGTTTTCTTCCTAGCTATTCAGAAAACTGAAGGCTTCTCCAGGAGCCTCTTTCTGAACCTTTCCACTCACTCTTGACCTCTCTGGAGGCCTTTCTTCCTTCTCAGTTTAGGGTTGATGCCCTCACAAACACTCTCACGCACCCTTTCCCTCCCTTCTCGTAAGGTCTGCCATCGGTTTATAGTTTTGTTTCTTGTTTTACATTGTGTCTAGCATGCAGTAAGAGCCTAACAATTACTTGTTGCAATGCATGATTTGAGAATAAACAATCCCTAAGAACAACCTCAGGATTAACTCTAAGGGAAGTCTCTTGGGTTGCCTTAGTAAAAGGATGGAAGCAAGCACACATTTCACTATTTCTTATCTTTAAGAATCTTTTAAGAAATATTACCACTGTGTACTGTCAGTCGATGTGCTGCATTCTCAGAGCAATGTGACCCTTATTTACTGTCTTAAGTCACAGCGGCAGAGGAAATTCATCTCGGCACTCAGGACTACAACAGCATAAGGCATTCTCTGCTCTGTAATTAACGTAAGTAAACCATCTCATCGCGCCTGAGAACTTTTTCTCTTGTAGATCAATGGAGCCAAAGATATCAATGGAATGGATATTAGAGTTCCTGGTTGAACCCACTCATTTATGGATAAGGAAACTGCAGGACGTCAAGATAGAGTAACTTGCCTAAGGGTGGTAACAGAGCTATTTCATGATGAAGCAGTTGTCATTTTTTTGTCATTATTTGTTTGGATCTTTTTTGAAGACACTTTGTAGAGTCTTTCTATGTAGCCCAGGGTGACCTCAAATTCAAGATCCTCCTGCCTCAGCTTCCCAAGTGCTGAGATTACAGGCCTGCACTACCACACTCAGCTAAGCATTTGTCTTTTTAAGTGCACTTAATATTATTTAAAACCTTCATGATAACTCTGTAAAGCTTGCATTAATTTTTTTCTTTTACACCCCAAAGAAACCAAAGCTCAGAGAGTTAAATAACTTGGTAAAGTCCTGTAGGTAGAAAGTGGCTGCTCTGGGATGCAAACATATTGCTGTCTTTTTCAAAATTGGATTCTTTCCACCTCTGAGGAAGTGTCAAGAGGCTTGGCACTCTGGTCCTGATATCAGCTCACTTAAAGGTGATCAAATCACATGCCAAAAATTGGGATACTTCTTTTTTGGCAGGCCTAGGGATCCAACCCAGGGCCTCACATATCCTAGGAAAGTGTTCTACCACTGAATTAAAATGCTAGCCTTAACTAGGATACTTGTGAAAGTGAGCCGAATGCAGCAGGCAATGCTAACTTTCCCCACAGCTGTCCTCTTCGAAATCTTTTTATCCATTTTCATGTGCCACCTTTCCCCTCCACCAACTCCCACCTTCCCTCTTCTTAGCTTCTAATATCTAAGACCGTGGGTCTTTAGAGAACTTCTGACAGTCTACAGTAGCTCCTTTGTCACTCCAGTAGAGAGTCTTAAACACCTGCCTTCACTTTCCCTGGGGTAGCTCTTGGCCAACAGTTAAGACCAGAAGTGTGAAAATTCAGCTCGCTGCCTCAGGAGCAGTCAATGCTTAGCTATAACTTATATTCTGAGCTCCCTTGCAGCCCAGGTTGAAGCTATGCCCTCAGGTGTCTGAGAGGGCACCCTGGTTGTGGCTCCTCCCTCTTCCGCATTGCTTGCCTCACTCCCTTAATGGCCTTCCCTGGCAGCAGATCTTTAATAACTCCATTGCACACAGACCTTCACCCTAGAGCCTGCTTCTGAAGAACCTGACCTAAGAGAAATGCAACTCAATTTACAGACAATTCTGTATTTGGCTGGGTTGCAGAGAAAGGCTGGACCATCTCTCAGACATTTCTGGGGTAAAAAATAGATGTAATTCTCATCTGTGTGGGATGACACCAGTATAAAAAATGCTCTGAGATAGAAAAATAGATGAGAAAATTCCTCAGGAATTAGTCAAACTTCACCAAATCAGATAGCTTGCTCCCTCATGCAAATCCACCTCCCACCCCCACCCCCGCCCCAGCCAAGCAAGCCCAGTTACCCACCAGCACCCTTCCTGCAGGCTCGCTGGCTGCATTTTTGTAATTCTGGAGGTCTGGGTTCATGATCACACAGGCACCTATCTTGGTCTTCAGTTGTACTGTCCTCTGAGGGGATACAAAGGACAGTCCTCTTCTGAAAGCCACCTCCACAGGAAGTACTGCACTGAAAGAGAGGGATACACAGAGTTGGAATTCTCCCCCAGGACCATGCAGGAGCACAGGAAAACACTTCCCTTCCCTTTCCACCATCATCAATTATGGAAAGTCTGAATTGCTGAGACTTTTTTTTTTTTTGCAGTACTAGAGTTTGAACTCAGAACCTTGTACTTGCTAGGCAGGCACTCTACCACTTGAGCCATGCCCCCCAGTGAGAATCTTTTTGAAGGAATAAAGGCACTGGTAATTTGGGGATGAGAACTTAGAGTCCTATGTTACAGGTTGTTGAATTAAATCGAATTTAGTTTACTATTGGGTTCTCTGAAGAATATGCTTCTCTTTCTCAAGTCTGAGGATGTCCTTTGCTCCTACCACATGACTATAACATGGCATACATGCTAGTACCAGGGGTTTTTGCCTACTCTGCTATACATGATTGATTCAGGATGGGTCTCTAAATCAAGCTAGTCACTTTCTTAGAAATTTGGAATTGAGGCACAGCAAGAGATTTTCTCTGAGAGTGAACTATGCAAACTTGGGTGTAGTTGGTGGTTATATTTCCTGCAAAGTAGGAGACATAGAGGAAACCATATGACAGAAAATGTGAAGGGAATAAAGCATATGCTTAGAGAGGAACGGGGATGAGAGATGACATATTTGTAGGGTTTACACCCATGGATGGAGTTAAAATTCCCAACCCAAACATTCATCTTTACATCATGAATATATGAATGAAACATATGGAGAAAGGCTGAATTGAAAACAAAGTAAAAGAAAAATTTCACTGTCTGGGCCCTGGTACTCTCCAGTTTTTCCAGACTCGTTTTGATTTGGGGTTGGGGGATACGAAGTGAGTAAAAAAAATGGAACTATTGGGTAAGCTAAGAGGAACATCGAAAGAAAAGTGAGAGAGGAATACTCTGGTGGAATGGAGAAGGAATTTGGAATAGAGTCAGGAACAAGGCTGCACATAGAGAGTGAGAAGGAGAAGGACAGACATGGGTTTTTAAAATATTTATTTTTTAATTTTTTTTTAAATTTTAAAATATTTTTAATTTGGAAAGTTGCAAAGACAAAGTCCTTGTGTTCCCCAAGTTCATGTCCTCAATAACTGTGGTGATTTGTCATAGCTAAGACATACACATGAAGCCATTGACGAAACTCTGCCCCTTATTCACATTTCACTCATCTGGGAATGGGTCTTTGGATTTGGACCTTGCAGGACCACGTGAGGTCCCAAGCCATCTAACACACAAGGTCCCACTCTGATGTCATGATTGTCTACACTGCAGCAGAAGGGAGATCCTCTGGCTTGTGGGAGCAATTTCTGAAAGGTGATTCCCGGCAATGTAACAAAATGTGAATTTACCACATATAGTCTTTTCTTAAATTTTTTTTATCGTACGATACCTAGAACATAAAATTTACCATTTTAATCTCTTTTTGTTTTGGAGACAGGGTCTCATTATGTAGCTTACCTGGCCTCAAACTTGCAATGCTCCTGCTTCTGCCTCCCAAGTGCCGGGATTACAGGCATGTACTACCATACCCAGCTTTATTTTAATGCTTTTTGACTATATGGCTCAGTAGCTTTAAGAACAGCTACTCACAGCAATCACCATCCATCTCTAGAACTTTTTCATCTTACCAAACCAAAACTTTGTATCATTAAACAAGAACTGACCATTTCCCATTTCCACCCTTAGCTCCTGAAAACCACCATCCTATTTTTTATCTGTATAATTTGGTAACTCTAAGTACCTCATGTAAGTGGTATCACACAGTATTTGTCCATTTGTGACTGATTATTTCAATTAGCATAATGACTTTGAGTTTTACCCATGTTGTAGCCCATGTCAAAATATCATTTTTGCTGGGAGGAAGGATAAGAAAGACTAATAATTGGGTTAAATTTGATCAAAGGATATTATGTAAATGTATGGGAATATCACAATGAAACCCTTTTGTAAAATTAATGTACACTAATAAAAAGTGAGAGAAAGAAGTATTTCCTTTTTAAGATGGAATAATATTCTGTTCATATCTATTCCACATTGTCTTTATGCATTTATCTGTTGAAGGACACTTGTGTTATATCCTCCTTTTGGCCATTGTGATCCATGTATACTCTTATGATTTATATTTTATATCATGTTTTATTTTTTTCTAGCCTCATCTTCCTTACTTGAACAAAATATCCCAAAGCAAAAAAATGAGTTCCTTTTTTTCATGCTTCATAACAATTAGCATGATATTCAATAAATACTCACTGATTTATTGGCTGAAAAAGATTGCTGCATGGAAAATTCTGGAAAAGTCACTAAATTCAAAAGATTCCATTTGTCATTGGAAATATTATTGGAGACCCAGCTCGCAGGTAAGAGAATTTCCACACTGGGATATCAGAATATTACTCCCAACCCCATTTCTCCCAGAGAGATGATAGGAGGGGATATGGTGTTTTTCTTAATATCCACGTTCTGTTTCACTCATGATTCACATGGAGCCTCATGCTTGCATTATAAAGTCAGAGCTTTCTGTGATTAAACCTGAAGTAATTTTATTCAGTGAATTCACCTCAAATTCTCCTAGGATGTAGGCAAGAAATAAAGGATAAGAAATAACTACTCAACTTATCTTGAATCAACACAATTTTCAACAGAGGACAGAAGAAAGAATGATGGAAAATAAGGCAGAATACAATAGAACCCTGGGCTAGGATTTAGTCTCTTGCTCACTACCTATTGTTTTAACCATTCACTCCACTTCTCTTTTCTTTTGTGAAATAAGATTGTTACATAAAAACCAAATGACTTCTTTTCCTGATTTCTGCTTCTTAGGGACTGGTGAGGCAAGGTTGGGTTAGTTCCAGCTGCTCAAGTCAAGTAGGTTCTCAGGAAAGGGAAAATTGGGATAGAAGAGCTAATTGCAAGCTAGATCCATAAATAAGAAGAGGATTTCACTGTCCGTGAATTTTTTTAGCTAGTTAAAACAACTTGAGATTAAGATGCATGAATTTGTGCTGTGTTTAAAGGGGGTAATTAAACAGGAGTAACAGTTGCTAAATTGTTTAATTAATTGTGGTAGTGCTATGAGATTGGGGTTTTAGAAGGAAGGTATATATCTTTTAGTGTTCAGATCTACTACTTTGGATCCAACAAAACCAGGAATTTTTATGCAGAACTGAGCACCCCAATAGGGTTGGGGCTAAACCTAACTGGACTGGCTGATACTACTGACTCCTGAATTGCTCACACCCTAAACTGAACTCTACTGACTCTTTCAGTCTTAGATGCTCTGTAAAGATCGCAAAACCTCTCTTCAGCTTAAACTGACTTGCTGAGAAAAAGTGATCCCCAAAGTTCAACAAATACTTGCTCTTGTGAGAAGCTATAAAGGAAGTATATGAAGGTAGGATTTTGCCATGACTACCACTCAATCAACATAGATCAAACGGGAGAATACGAAGAGAACCATTTGATGTTTTAGAAATGAATGCCAGCATGTTCATTGAATAAGTTTTTGCATTTATCATTAATGTATGACAGGACATGTTTTGTGCACATAGGAAATATCCTCGATTTCAATCCTTGCAAAACTCATGTAAAATAAGATTTATTTTCTGGTTTTCCTGATATAGATGCAAATCTTCCTCTTCCGTCTTAGCTTTTTACTTTTTAATTATGGTATTTGTAAGACATGGAGACTCATGTCCTTCAGATTTGGAGAATTTTTCTCATGTTAATTTTTAAATAATTTTCTCATTTTAATTTCCTTCATTCTCCCTTTCTAAAATCTTATTATTTTGAGGTATACCTGCTGGCTGGATACTCTGATTTTCTTGATCTTTTCTCTCAATTTCTTTTTGACTTTGTTTTCCTTTTCTTGAGAGATTTTTCTAAAATTATATTCGTAATTCTTCTACCTAATTTTGTACTTCAAAATTTTTCTAAGGTCACCTTTCATTTTTTAATATCCCTTTTTCATAGCTTCTTGTTCTTATATTCTGGATGCTGTCTCTTATTTCTCTAAAGAGATTGATTGTAGGTTTTTCAGGAGAGGATCATCTATTTTCTAGACAGTCTCTATTTCCTCAGGATGCACTTTTTCTATCTGTTATTTTGCCCATGGTATGTGGAGTTTCATACAATTTCTGGTGATCATATGTTATCTGTTTATAGTTCAGAATGAGGCACCTGAGATCTTACTGGATGCTCCATGGGTGGCACTTACTGAGGTGGCTTTACCCAAGGAAATCAAGGAAACATCTGTTAATGTAGGTGTCTAGAGGCTAAACCAGCCCCCTGCTTCTGTAAAGCTCAGTGAAAGAAGGGGAATATCACACTAATTACTGGGAGTATTTTCACTTAATTATCCAAGGCATGAGCTCTTGCCTACCAAATGTACCTGATTTTAGGGTCTCTTTGTTTATCTCTCCAGACTATGGTTGGGACATAGTAGAGAATCTGAAGATCCAACTGCTTTTCTTAAAAACTTGCAACCAGAATCACCCCCATTCTCACCCTTGTGTTCAGAAATATCTGGGGAATCTGATTACTTCATGGCCTCCTGGTTATAGACAGTTTTTGGCTTTCTCTGGGTTAGGTCCATTCTAAGTTTGGCCCTCTGGTTCTAGATTCCAAAGTTTTATTGACCTTTCTCTCTGTTCTTGTCTTTTGCTCCAATTTTTGCTTGTTTCTGTTGCTTGTACCATTTTTGATATTTTAATCTCTTCTCCCTATTTAATGGGATTTTGGGAACAGAGTCAAGTGTGCATCTTTAACCCATGGCTTTTTTTTTTTAAAGAAATACATCATGGAAATCAGGAGTAATTCCAAAGACTGACTTGGTCGCTACTGGTTCCTCCCAGTCTCCCCATTCTGGGATGTGCACAATTAATTTCTGACACATAGCTCTTCTAAGGAAACTCCAACCCATGACTTCCACCCATGATAGAAACTGTACCTCTAGCCTCCTTAGAGAACTGATAAAGACTTAAAATGTTTACTTGGAGTTTTGAATCTTCCATGAGATTTTGTGTCCCCCAAATAGCCCAAACTTGCATTTTTATGACTGTTGACATTGTACAAATTTTCTCTTCTAGTGGTCACATTTGATTTGATTAGTGATTTTTATAGTGTTATTTGGGGCTCCAAGATATTTATGAAGAGTCTAATCCTAAAACAATGTTGGCAGCTGAGGCCAAGGCCTGCCAGGATTGTGAGTAGGGCCTCTCTGCTAAGGCTTAGATGAGTGAAGAAGGCTACTGCTATCTTGGATCTGTGGGCTGCAATTATGTTAAAAGCTCATGTTTTGAAACTTATGGCTAGACTATGGCACTCAAACCCTACTGATGGCAGAGAATATTAATTAGATGACTATTAATGGATGCCCCTAGATGAACACTTTAACAAAGGGGCAATGGTCAAGTAAGTTATGGTCAATTAACTCGATAGAATATTATTATGAATGAGAGTCAAAATTAGGCCTGGTTCATCCCCTACTTGAGGGGAGTGACCTTGAAATATGAATAACCTGGAAACTAGAGTTAAGGTAGACATAGAAAGCTGTGACTGCCTGGTCTACTAAGAAATTCCTCATGTGTAGGACTGCCCTATACTAAGGGCCTGTGAGTTAGCATGTGGCCTTCAGTATATGTGGCCAAAATAGCTAAAAATATTGGCAGAAAACTGAGCCAGAGGCTTCTTCCTGTCAAGGTGATCTTTGCACACTTTGGCTCTAATTCTTGCCAGCCACATATACCCTATACCAGTATTGAAGCAAATGAAGAAGTATCCCTGGATGGCAGTCTCCTAAAGAGATGAGGCTCTTGTATATAATGCAATCTTGTTTTCATGCTTCTGTGAAGCTAAGTAAACATAGTGTTAGATTCAAGCCTTTTGTGTCTCATGTGTCTGAATGTTAATTTGAACCAGTATTTGAGTTGATCATGGTTGTGCAGGAGCCATTATACAGCTATGAGCAATGAGAATCACCGAGAGTATGAAAACCTGACAACATCGGCATTGTTGGACAATATGTTACACAGGCCTGTGTCATAATTACAGCCATCAAAATATCGTCACATAGAAATGGGTAATTTTGTAAAAATGTTAATAGTTGAAGGAGTATCACATCAGATTCTCTTTGCTTCTTCTGTCTTCCAGCTCTTGACTTTATTATCTGTCTCAGCTAAGTGGCAACCAACTTCACAGGAGCCCAACTCAATGGATTTCACCTTATGCCCACAACATGTCACTCTCACCTCTTGATTCTGAATTTTGTTGCCAATGAGACATGGAGGAACATTTAGTGCCCACATATGACCAGCCAAGAGTCCAGGGATACTAGCCCTCCAAAGCCCAAAGGGAGATAAGAGCCAGTAGATAACTTTCTCTCTTCTTAGCTTTTAGAAGACCTTCCATGGCAGCCCAGAAATCAGTTACTCTTATACCAAGCAATGGCCAGTTAGTCCTCATGTGTAGGACTGCCCTATACTAAGGGCCTTCATGTGGCCCTTAGTATATGTTAGCATGTGGCCTTCAGTATATGTGGCCAAAATAGCTAAGAATATTGGCCAGTTAGGTAAAATAATCATTATGGTAATAAATCACTTCTGATTTGACTTTCCTTCTCTGCCTCCTTCCTCTTTTCTATCATTCCCCCTTCACTAGCATTGTCTTTCTCAGTAAAGTGTTAGAATTTGCCTGAAGACTATTTCCTAGAGAACTTAGATAAGACAAGTCAGAATAATCTGGGAGAATTTTCTTTCTTTTTTTCCCCAGTATCACTGATAGGGAGCTATTAGTGCAATAAATAATCATGGGAGAATAATCATCTTCTCTTGTTTATAGTTTAATTATTTTGCTTATGTCTCCATCCAAAAGGCTGACCATCTGGCAAGCTGCTGTGGGCAGACAAGAGGTCTGAAGCTCACTAAATCAGACTAAGCCGAAAACTTCAGGACATAGTCGATTCCTTTAGACTCAAAGGGAAAACAGAACCCAAGATGTGGGCCTCAAATAACTTTTCCTCAGGGCTTTTGCCCCTGGAATAATTTTGGTTTTTTGATCTTTTCTGTTTTGAAAGTATTTTATCTTTTCTCTTCTGAACTCAAGACAGTAAACACTGACCCACAGCAGCGAGGAGGCAATTTTCAGAATGCTAGGTAGATGAACACTAAAAGTGAATGAAGCCCATGGAAACACGTTGCACATCAGTGAGAACAGTGCACATCTGCAATGAATGTATGCTACTTGATTGAACTCAGAGCCTTGTTCTTGCTGGACAAGCCATACCCTCACTCTCTGAGTACATATATTACTTTTTAACAAAAAGAGAGTGGATTATATTTTTCTTTTAAAAGCCAAGATAAAAACAAAACATCTATAATCAACTCTTACCCGGTCCCAGCTCCCAGTGGCCCAGTGACAGCAAAGGTGACTATTGCAGGGCACAGTGGATGGGGGCCTTTTTGTCCAGTCACAGAAGCCTCTTGGACAGGACACCCTTCTCTTCTGAACTCCACCTCCACAGGACCTGGAACACTGATAGGGACATGATTAGGTAGAAATCAGGTGGTGACATGTGAAATGATAAAGGCAGAAGTTTTTGCTATCACTTTTCTGTGTATTATTAGAAAAACTAGTATTTGTATTGGAACCTGGAGCATCTGTGCAGGTTTCTTACAATGACCATTTTAGTTGTTTAAAGCAATAATGATGAAACAAAATTTAAATTAAAGAGAGGGAGAGAGGTTGAAAAAGGAAATCCTATTAAAGGGAAAAAATTTTGGTTAAAAACTTAAATAAGTGGTCTTTCCAAAATGGACATTATATTATTTATATTTTGCTTTCTGGCACAAGTGTCTAGAAACCAAAACACAAAATTTAGATTTTTTTAATTATGATTAGCTCTGACATCCCAAAAGGGGAACACACGTTTGCAACACAATTCTGTTTGCCTTCTATTAAAATGCAATTCAATCTTTCTTTTTTACTACATAAAGTTTTAGAAGTAAATGTATCTACATTAGGAAGAGTGAAATTGATGGATTTGCTGAGGATTTTGATAGTAGGGCTATAATGCTCACAAAATAAATTCAAGATGGCAAGTTGGATTTCTGAAGGCATCTACCTCCAAAGCATGTCAGGATTATGCTTGCTAGAATAATTTTATAAGAGATATTGTCTCATTTCTAAGGATAAATTAAATAAAATGAATGAATAAAATTAAATAGAATAAAATTCATTAAGAATATTTAAAAGGTATTTTGAATTCTTTGAAAGCACTTTGAAAAGTCTTTGTTATGGCATTATTACAACAGTAACAACAAAATATTATGATTGTCTTGTCAACACCAAGCCCATCATATCAGAAGCTATATGTATGGTAGTATAATAAAAAACAAGAAAATTATATAGAATTACCTTTTTATGCATAGTAAAAGAATGAACTGTTTTCTATAAATATTCTAGCTTTAAGAATCAATCTGGATTTTTGCCCCATTTATTCAAAAACAAAGTTTTTTTGGCAGTACTGAAGTTTAAACTTAGAGTTTTGTATTTACTGGGCAAGCACTCTACCACTTGAGCCATGCCCTAACTCTATTCAATCTGTTTTTAATCCAGTCTTAGAGTGAAGAAGAATCTATTTCAGGTTGCTGTAAGCCTATATATGTGCATATAGATTCAGGGCCACCTGGCTAAGTAATTTCCAAGAAAAGGGGGTAAAGAAAATATAGATCAGGGGTGCTCAGACCAGCAACATTAGTATCTTCTAGATACTTGTTGGAAATGCAAAATTTCAGGTCCCATTCCAGATCTCCAAATTGGACACTTGGGGTGTGGTCCATCCGTTTGTATGTTGACAGTCCATTCAGGTGATTCTAAGCATGCAAAGATGTTCCCAAACTAAATGTAAATGCGCTGTGTGTAGTCTGGGATGGCTGACATTTATTAAATGACTCCAGAATATAACAATTCATTAGACTGTGCATGTAGGCAGAGCAGAATCATGATGGGTCAAGAAAAGTACCTAAATATATCCAGTGCTTCAACAGCTCCAGCACTCAACTCACTCTTACATTTCCCGTATCCACTGCTTCCTCAGAAAGAAGTCTTCCACTGTGTGACTTGCACAGAACAGAGACATTTAGCAAGAAGTGTGAAGGGAGATGTTTAGGAAACAGGCTGATGTTGGGGACTCTTAGAAGCTACTGAGGAAGTATAAAGAATAGATTGTTCTCATAACCAGAAAGATCTAATTATTCATCTTTGATAGCTGCAAATAAATTTCCTAGCTTTTGACACTAACTCTGTTTTTTCAGGGTGGGATTTTCTCCTTTCCATCCCCTGGCACATGGTAGATCACCTTAAAATAGCTGTCAATCCATTTTTCTCCTCAGCTCACTCTTTGCTCAATGCCCATTGGGTGGATTTCTGCAGTAAAAGGACACAGATAATGGAGTCTGCCTGATATTTGAATTTATACTTCATCATTTACTTTCTAGTTCTGTAACATCTGGTAAATTTATCAATTTCTTTGAGTCTTAATTTCTTCATCTATAAAATGGAATTAATAAGACCCACTATCCAGCTTATTGTGACAATTAGACCAGATGTTTTAGGTAAAGTGGCTATCCCATTTTAAACTCAAAGTATGTTGTATTCTATGTTGTATGTTTATTTGCTCATCTTTCTATCATGCATAGACATATAGTTGGGGATTTTTTTAGCTAATGATGCATTTATGTATTGGAAAATGAGATTGTCATACTTTACCAAGAAACCTTGTTTTCATGTGCCAAAATAAAACTAAGAACAGAAGAGCAAGCACCCTCACACACATTTGTATAAACAGTGATCTGGGCATTTAACTGAGAGATGAAGTTAAAATTATAGTGTGTGGAAAAAAAATGATCATTATCCTCAGCCTGACTTCAGAATTCTCAGACAGGTATCTGAGGCTGTGTCCTAAATGACTCTTATCAAAATGGTTCAAGTCATTCCATTGTGCTCATTTCCCCAGAAGGGATACCAGTTACCCAATATATCCATTGTGAGATGAAGGTGTAATAAAACTCTGCATTGCCATGGTTGAAATCATACCATATGTATCATATTTTCAATGGAACACTTTCACTTTCCAATAAAGTGTGGAGTCACTGAATGAAGGCCAGTCACTGTCCCATTACAGATGTGTTATTTCCTGACTTGTAGACTCACATGGTACCTCATAGATTCATGGCCTGCCAGGTTGTGTGATGGCGTATGTTCCCTTTCTGAGGGCTATACCTGGCTCCAGGGCTCCATCTGCCACTCCTCACAGGGTTCCAAGTTACAGCTCAAGCTCACTGGGGGAGGAATACCGGCCAGGAACTGGCAGTGAAATGGCCTCAGATTCCGGTGGTGATCCCGGCTGTCCACACACTGAATCTCACGGATCTTAAAGCCTCCGCTGCAGTTTCGGGAACACTGTATGGAGACCAAAAGCAAAGGTGACACCTGAATCCTTACCTCAGGCCTCTATTTCCCCAGTCCATGGAATCTTCAGGCTCCCAACATGAATAGGGGTTAGGGCTTGTTCACATGAACCCTGTCTTCTTTCCATGCTAAAAAGAGAGAGTCACATAAGCAGCAATCCCAGCCAAGGCTCCCTGGGTCAGAGAACCCATGTGTGGAGGTGTAAGTGCTGGGATGTCTGGCAGAATTTGACACATGTGTAGAGGTGTGAGGGTTTGGATGTTTGGGAGATGTCAACCCAAGTGTGGAAGTGTGAAAGTTTGGGTGTCTCAGAGAAGAGAGTGAGAATTCCAGTTTTGCTGCTCATTAGCTTTGAACCTTAGGTAAGTCACAGAAACACTCTGAGAATCTGGTGTCCCATCTGTAAATGGATAATGCATAACTGTTACTTCACAGACTGCTGTAAGATTATATATGTTTGGGTGGCCCAGCCTGCCTCAGTGGTAAACATTCCCACTGCGAGTCTGTATTCATTTCAGGCAAAGCAGTGACCTAGTTTTTTGGGATGGGGCATCTTGGGTCCCCATGGAGGGAGTTCTCTGATAAGCCACCTCCATCTCTCCCTCACAGTCCTGCTAAAAACAGGCTCTCTCCATGCCTCTGAACACAGAATTGATTACCGTGTCTCTTAGGAAGCATCTGTATTAGGGAAATAAGCTGAATAATTGGATTTACTCATGGGAGTAAGCAAACACTGTTCTTGTCCCCATCCTTATCCCTCTTCCTACACTTGTCATCACCAATTCCATCACTGAGCAGTTCCTAGCTCATATCCATGGAAATCTATTAAACAGCCCAACTGATGCTCCTCTTCCCCCACCCCCATCCTCTATGGAGCAGCCCCCACATCCCGCTCCATCTCAGGAAATTGCACAGCTCACTGGCAGGCTGCTGATGTCCTTTGGACTGTTGGATCTAGAGACCTAAGGCAGATGAGTGAATATCCCATCCCCCATGGAGAGCAATATCATTCCTGTATCCTGAGGAGATAGAGGCCTGCATTCCTGCATCCTAAAGGAGAAATACAGATCTGCCACAGGGCTGATGAGCAAAATGCTCTCAAGATTGTTTCCCCATCCCCAATAAAGGTGCTAACCAAAGCAGTTCACCTGAGAAAGTCTGCGAATCCATGGCCAATAAGAAAAACCCACCTAACCAGAGTTAAAACGTCCATAAAAATCCCAGCCTTCACCTGTGCAGCGAGCCACCAGCTTCCGGGCTCCGTTGCAGTACCTTAGCTGTAGCCTCTCCTTTCTCTCTAATAAATCCTACTTTATATACCACTTTGGCTCATCATTCAGCTGCTTCACAAGCCAGTTCTCTGGCCTGTGAAGGCATGGACCCTTGACACCAATACATAACATTTTGGTGATGCACAAAGTGACCCAATCTCTTCTGAACCAATGTTGGTATAGGTTGTGCCAAACTGGGAAAGGCTGCCTAGGAATGTGACCATGAGCATCCAGCACTCTGATGGAGTCTGTTTTCCAGGAAAGACCACCCCCCATCATGGCCTAGCTGCGGTGGAACTCTCAGGCTGATCCTCTCTCTTTCTCTCTGGTTAAGGAGGGTTTCTCCCTTGGGAAACTGAGGAAAAGCTCCAAGCCCATTACTTCTGTATGGCAGGCAATCTTAGGGAACCCAGATGCCAGATGGGGGATTATACCACACTGCCAATGCTATGTGGGTGGAACCCGACTTCAGTGCACCAAGGCTTTTTCTTTTTCTTGTCCTTAAACTCTAACTCTCCCTTGTTCAAGATCTGACCCGCTTAAGAGGAGGTCCAAAGACAGCGGGTGGAAAGGAAAGTTTGTCTTCAAGACAAAAATGGTGTTCTGGCCGGTGTACTCCCCAGTGTCACCCAAAAGCTGGAGACACAACTTCCCAACTCGCCCTGAGGCTCCAAAGGTGGCTAAGTCTCGAACCCCTCCAGCCAAGTCTGAGGCAAACAATCAGATCTCTCCTGCTTCCTTCATGGTTTCCGTGGCTCGAGAGTGGAGGTCACCTCTTGCTTCCAGTGCTCCAGTACTGCCTTTGGGCAGGATCAACCTGGACAGCAGGGATGATCAATAATCCCTTATACATTGAGCCTGGAAACTCTCTTTTCTCCAAACCCTCAGCCTCTCCTTCCTCTTTCCCAAGAAGTTCAGGATGAATGGCCTCACCCTTTTGTTCTAAATAGCTGTGGGCTTCCTTCAGTGAGTTTGGAAAATACACCCATTCTGCTCCCTCCCTGGTCCTGCCTTGTCCTTTACCTCTGTCTTCCCCTCCCTGGGCTTACTGGGATCCTGGCTTCCCATGAAAAACTTGTAGCATGATACCTTATGACTTAAGTTATTCCAACTAGTTTACTAGCCCTCTTGGTCCAAAGCAACTTTAAATCAGCTGCTAGACACTGGAGAGGCAAAAGCACTTACCAAAAAACTGTAGGCACCACACTCATGCCCTAACTCCACCCCCACAAGGGGAGGAGGGAAAACAAACAGGCGCACTCGTGCACAGGGATGCTGGCTCCTGGGCACAGCAGGAATGCCTGCTATAGCTAAGAGAATCCATAGAGAGGACACAGCACACATCCTAGGCTGCAAGTCATACATGGCAGTGGCCGCGGCCTGCTGCCACTTCTCTTAAATGGGATGAGAGGAAAAATAAATGCTCATAGGTGCATGTACACGGGAAGGAGGAGAAGGGGGGACAGGCCACAGGATAGGATTGCTCATCCCTGGTGTAGGAGGGATCAATGGTGCTTTGCTCAAGGCTGGTTCCCAGCCCCACCTTACGCCTTGGGCCTGACTGACCCAGCTCTAGTAAGCTAATTGTTATCTCAAAGTTATAGTCCCAGAAATAGCAAAATGGGCGTTACTGTGGTCTCTAAACTTCTCATTTAAAATTTCCTATACTTTTGGCCTCAGCATAAATTTTCCCCCAAATATTAGCACTAGTCATCCCTTATGGTACTGTTACTGCCCCAGGATGGCCTCTGAATGTCCTTCTCTGACTTTACAGGCAATGTATTCCTTTGTTTAAGTGATATCCTTTATTAAAGAGGCTGCCTGCTGTTTGATAAAGGGCAGGATCCTAGTGTTTTTTTTTTTTTTCTCTTCTCACTGTTGGTCAGGTGGTCTAATCCAACCAGGTCACTTTTCGCGGTCCTGACCATGGATGGCAGGGGGAAAGTCACGAGACAGGGATGCCTGGACTCGTAAGTAAAGTCATTCCTAGTCAGGATGCTGACAAGAAGGAACTGACCCAGTTTACTGCTGTCATCTTTCTAGATAGACATGCCCCCTTCCAGTCTTCTGGCCTGTCTATTGAAACATTGAAAAGAAATGTTGGAAGCTTTGTACTGAGGCCTGGCCTCAGTGTATCTTGGTGACCCAGAGAAGTGGCTTTCACAGGGTTCCTTAAATTGCAATACCATACTTCAATTAGACCTCTTCTGTAAAAAGTAGAACTGAGGTCCCTTATACAAATTTTCTTTTATCTTTGAGATCACCCAGATTGGCTCCATAATTACTATTTAGATACTCAGACACTGGCCATTCTTTGTAAGTCACAGCATAAACATGGGGAAGGAGGACCAGAAAAGCCCCTCATCAATGACAAGGCCCACCCCTACTGCTCCACCCTTTGCCCTACCATCTAAGCCACCCCAACATTCAGAACCTCCTCATGGGTGCTTCTCCCTTCAACAGGCAATGGTAGGAAGAGGGCAAGTCTATGTCCCCTTCCAGTTATTAGATCTAAGGGAAATTTAAAAAGATCTGGGTAGCTATACTGATGCCCAGACAAATACATCCAAGCCTTTATCCTTGTGATCTAAACTTTTAAATTGACATAAAAGGATATTATGCTTCTATTACACCAAACTCTTTCCTCATTAGAAAAGCAGTGGGTTCTGGCCCAGGCCACTCAGGTTGGAGATGATTACTATTTACAATGAGCCCCAATACCTGTGGCATCTAAAAAATGTGGGAATGAATGTGCCTATACCCACCAGGGCACAGGCAATCCCCTTGACAGATCCACACTGAAAATCAAAATGGTACAGGGAGCTGGCAGAGTGGCTCAAGCAGTAGAGTGCCACTTTGCAGGCATAAAGCCCTGAGTTCAAATCTCAGTACAGCCAAAGACAAAAAAGCTATTTGGGGCTGAGGAAGTAGTTCAGTGGGAGAATGTTTGCCAAGAATGTGCAAGGTCCTGGGTTCAACTCCCCAGCATAGCTAAATCAAAAAAAAAAAGGTAAGAAAGATAAGTGGCGTTAATGTCACTTCAGCCATCTCATAGTGGAAGGGCTAAAAAGGACCAAGTCAAACCTCTAAACTATTCCCAGGTGACTGTAGTCCAGCAAGACCCTGAAGAAAACCCCCCTACCTTTCTGCATTATCTTAAGGATGCTATCAGAAATCACACCACAGGTGACCCAGAGTCACAGGTGGGAGAGGTTCTCCTCAAAGATAAATTTCTAACAGTCAGCCCCAGATATTCGTAAAAAACTCAATGTTTGTGGCTGAAAGGAAAGTCATTGTATCAACTTATACAGCTAGCCATGTCTGTATACTATAACCGGGACATTACAGGAGAGGAAAAGATAAGAGCCATCATGATCTCATTACTGCTCTCACCCGACTGGGGCCTGTGTCCTGAACTTGCTACCATAGTGGGCAGGAGGGGCACTTCCACAGAGAATGCTCAAGGGGGACAGCCTGGGAGACAGCCCTGCCCCCAGCCAGGACCCTGCCCTCTCTGCAAAGGTAACCACTGGAGGTCTAAGTGCCCCCGCCTCCAGATGGAAGGCGAGGTGCCACCTCCTATAGATTGATGGGTCCCGGCCTCCTGTCCACGCTCCACTTCTTGGCATCCATGTTGAGGAGCTTTGGGGTAGCCATAATGGCAGAAAAGCAAAAGGTCATTTTCCTGCTAGACAGTGGAGCATGTTTCTCTGTTTTACC